AAAATAAATTTGATTAGTAATTTTTTTTTGTTAAAAGTAGTTTGAAAATCACTGACAAAATATATTTTAATTTTAGTTAAAATAAATTTTATCAAAAATCTTTTCTAAATGTAAGTATTATTTTACTTTTTTTGTAAATGTAAGTACTTTTTGTTATATTTGTTTAATTTTATAGATCAAAATATTTTTTGGTTCAAAAAATGTTTAGAAACTTAATCGTTTAAAATATGAATGTTCATTGGATTTTTTTCGGACTTTTTCCATTATTTTATCACATTAACCAGTTATATAGATCATAAAGATGTATGTAACAGGTTTTAAAAGTTCAATGAGTTATTTAACATGTTTTGGAATGTCAAATAACTTATTTGTTCTAAAAATTGCCCAAAAACTTTATCATTCTAAATACTAAAGTTTATTTGGTTTTTTAGACTTTTTCATACATATATATATATATATATATATATATTGAACATTTTCTAAGAAATTAATTACTATTGTGTTCCAAAGTGGAACACATGCCAATATAACACATTATTTTAGTTGCATCCTTTCCAATGCATTATTAATAAACAATTTTAACAACATGGATTTCATCGTATACATCTGTGATTGGGTTTTTGATTCGCCTTTCACCATTTCTCCGTGGAATCCCAACAATATTTTCTTACACAATTTATTAAACCTGAAAATATATCGAGTTATGTTTGTTATCGTCAAGATCAGTTAGATATGGAGTGCAAAATTTTGATAAAAATATAATCTTACATCTGCACCAACAAAACCAACTGATTGTAAAATTAGACGTGGTGATCTCGTTTGTACGCATCGTACGATATCGGTAGATAGAGACACAAGGAATGTTCAAACACACATTTTATATAGTTGATAAGAGTTATGCACATAAGGACTTGTTTTGTAAAATGTAGATAAATGGAGGAGAATTGAGAATGTGAGTGGGTGGTGGTGACATGGAGCATGAGGCCTCATGACCAATCACAATATTCTTTTGCTCTTTTTAATTTAATGTGGAGCTTTTAAATATGGGTTAGCATGAGTCAATCCTTAATTATTAGTTCTACATTATTCTCTTTAGGTGGAACCATGACCATCCTCTTTTGGATTTTCTACTTTCACCCTTCCACTTTCTCCTAATTACAAATACGCCCCAAATCTTCTCATCACTTTCCCGTGTTTATAGTTGTGGTATCTATATTTCAAAAACAGTAGTAGCAACGTTATCTTTAAAACTGTAAAAATTCAATAAGGGATTGCATAGTTGTATTATATGAACTATGAAGTGTGTAGATTAAAAGCATCACGACAAAGACAAAGCCCAATGATCATTGCGGTTCGAGGTATCTATCGAACGTTAGCCTTAAAATTTGAAAATGGAAAAGTTCCCTAGTTCTTTTGAGTACTAGGGGCATTTTGGGTGTTTCCCACTTAGGTTGACTCAAATGGAAGTAGTAAATGGTGTGAGTAGAATATCTTTGAATGTAATTTGATTGGATGCAATTTAGCTTGGTTGGGGGACCCAATACCTTTTCATAATATATCACTTTCCTTAATAAATAAATAAATATTGGTACCTTAAAAGCATATATCACTTTCCTTTCTCCAAAAAGTACTAACAAATTTTATTTTTATTTTTTAGAATATGGAATTAATTTAATTTAAAATTACATTATTGTCCTCATGTTATCATTCAATTCTTAATATTTGATTATTGCATATGACAACAAAACTAATAAGATGCCCACCAAATAAATATATAACTTTTTATAATTTAAACGTTTTAATTAACTTCTACCTTTTTCCTTTAAATAATTGTATACATGACACCTCATCTTATCATTTCATTATTGCATTCTCGTTATGTTGAAGTCTTTGCGTTTTCCTTCTCTACATTCTCGTCCGCTCACGCATCACTGATACCATAGATGATAATATATCAATAAAAGACGAATAAGGTTCTTAACGACTCAAATAAAGTATAGTTGATTTTACCCATAGTTTGTTTTTGTGATAGAGAAAGTATTGCATGAACAAACGGAAGTCATTTCATTTAATAAACCGGTGTGTACTTTTTTGAATTAATACAACATAAATGGCATAAAGGTTAGACTAAGTTATCAAATTTCGATATAAAAAAATGACATGAGAATATGATAATATTGTATAGGGGCTACACTAAGTTGATATACATGTGTATGTTGTTTATTTGTTGTGTATTTAGGGCTTGTTCGGCCTAAGAGAATTGGGTTATGGTGTGTTTGGGGTTCGCTTTTGGGTTGCAAGATATTTGTTTATGTTATTTTATTTTGTTACCTCGTTAAAGAACATAATTATATATATATATATATATATATATATATATATAGGGGAGCGATCAAATGCAAACTACTCAATTTGTACAAACCGTGCAAACCGCATTCAACCAATCATAATTTTTCATTTTGTTCATTTTTTTGTAATTATGAGAGGTTGATTAATCATTTTTATTGTGGAGGGTGTTAATCATA